TTACCTCCAATATAGGGCGCATTACAAGACGGCCTCTGTTTGGCAATAGTGAGTTCTTATTACTGGCCCCATTGCACAGATTGAACAGTTGATCCAGACTAAGGAGAAGAGCGGCAGCGACTGGAGGCAGGATGGTGCTGAGCGCTTGCCATTTGTTTCCTGAATTCTCAAGGACTCTGCAGGATCAGCGTGGGAGGGAACGGAGGCTTGACGGTGTCCTGTGGCTGCCCAAGGCCACACACCGATCAGGTGGCCGAGCCAAGGTGGCCGGTCAGTGCTTAGTGCGAGGGGCTGGCTGTGCATCTGAGGGAGGGGCAGGGGGAGGAGGAGAAGAAATGTTAGTGTTTAAAAAAACAGGGGACGTGATGACAAATCGGCATTTAAAAGAGGCTGCTGCCCTCCTCGGGCGGCCGGAGCCTGCGGGTGGCGGCGGAGGCCGCATGCGCTGCAGACAGGCAGCCCGAGCTGGCGCCCGCGCAGCCCGGCAGCAGGGAGCCCTCCGAGGGGTAAGTGCGCTTTCCATCCTGTGACCGGTGGGTGTTTTCTTTTTCCTTTTTTTCAGATTGACCCATCAAATTAAGTTGCTTGCATTTCAAAAAGAATATTTTCTTCTTTCCATTTCTTTAATCGTCCTCATCTTATTCCGATGTTAGCTACTAGCTAATTTCTTAATTTCAACAACATTAGCCACTTTTGCAAAGAAAGTGTCGTAGAGCTTCACATTTGTAAAAAACAGTTTAAGGATCTTTCTTTTCCTTTCTCTGTTTATTATGATTATCCTTCGAACCATTTATTTCTTTTCTTGATGGCTATATCTTTCTCAGGGAAAGAACTAGAGTTTCTTAAGGGATTTTTTTAATCAGAATTTTCCAGCAGGGAGAAGAGTCCTGTTGTAAAATAAGTTACCATTTGTGTAAGTTTATCATCAGAGAAACACAAGGTAGTAAAGGAACAATGGAGAGTGTATTTTTGTGACGACAACATAACACGTTCCTAATATCTGGCCATAAACTAATTGTTGGCATATTTTAGAATCAGAAGCATATGGAATTATATGCTCCTACAGCAGGAGAATTCACAGTGATGGACATTTTAGCACGTGGCATAACAACATTCGATGCTATGAGTGGAGGAAAGGAGCCAAGTACGGAACGAAACTGGAAGAGAACCCTTCCCCAGATGAAGTTCGGGCACGAGGAGGGGACCCGTGTGAGCCGAGTTTTAAGCGAAAACCGTCTATGGGCCTGTTCCCATGTGCAGAAAGGAGGAAGTTGTTGATGCTGGCTCCTTAGATACTCAAGTGATTGGGCTTTTTTGTTTGTTTGTTTTTTAAGCAGAAGTACAAGCATGCCTTCCTGGTAAAAAGCATCTCGTTAAAGTGTCAACAGCAGAGCACTTAAGCTTATCCTTGTTAGTGTCAAGAAGAATGAGACATTATAAATCAGTATTTTTTAAAAGAAAATTAAAACAGAAAGGATATGTCACGCTCAATGATTCCAATAAGTGGACCAAATGCCTTGTCTTTTGTGTTTGCAGTTTGTTTGTAATCTCACTTGAAATACATTAGAAAGGTGACGGTGAAGTATTTTATTACCGAACGCCTGGAGAGACGCCTGATTAAGACCCAGCGACTGTGGCTTCGAACACACGGGGCTCTGGCTGCGGAGCTATCCCGCGTCTCGTGGGCAGAGGGCGCTCTTGTAAAGAAAATACTATCCCACAGGCACCGCCCAGGATCTCGCCCTTCTGGGTGACGTCAGCGTCACCATGGAGACCTCTCCCCACCGCGGGGGATGGACCTCAGGGCCCTGCTTTGGAAATGTGTAAATAGCAGCCCCAGCCGCTTTTATTGCCTTTGTTTGAATCGCTGCCGCCGGCGCAGGGGAGGCAGACCGGAAGCTCAGAAGGGAGGAAGTCCCTATTTGTCTCTTTTTTTTTTTTATCCTGTACGTAGCTTAGCCTCCTAGGAGGACTGTGTGAAATGACAAGGTAATGGAAAAGCTATGAATTCAGATTTCACAGTAAGAGAGTCAGAACACTGACGACGCTTTTTTTGTGTGAGTCAGAGAACTAATTAAACTTCCTTTAAAAAATTTATTGGACACTTTCTCGTATACACTGTAAATGTAGCATATATGTGATGGCTGTTACGATGGTTTTATTAACTGAATTTCATAAAACCACAAGCGCAGGGTACGCGTTTCTGTGTGCTTGGATAGGCTTGTTTTCCCGCAGCTTGGTTGCAAAGAGCCTGCCTTTAAATTCTAACTGGCCCGGGTTCCAGTCGCTGCGCATCTTCTGCTTAATCTGGCTCAATTGTTTCATCTGTGACATGGATAGTAACAACTGACTGTTGCCAAACAGAGGCTGTCTTCTAATAATGCAGATCGAGGAGGCTGTCCTGTGATGTGACGTAGTAACGTGTGCAGAACTGTTCTTCTTGCTGCGTCACGCCGGAAGAGTTTTCATCTTTATGTCCTCATCGTGTAGTTACTGGGGTAAAACATATCAGGACAGCACCGACACTGGTGGCCGAGAGGACTCAGCGACTGGGCCGTGGGTACAGTGACGATGGCGACTCCGGCCCGGACCCGGGGCGGCCTGGCCCCTGTTGGACCTCTCCCTCCCTCACACCTGGCAGCTGTAACCGCCCGTGTTCTCTGAGGCGCGGTGGGTGCGGCCTTACACCCCACGCCGTCGGGGGCGCACTCTAATGCACTGGGGGGGGGTGTTTATAGGCGGTGAGGTGCATAGACTGACAGCAACAGGAGGTTGGAATCGGACGTTGGCAGATGCGTGTGCATCGTGCGCCATCCGTTGATGACCTCCTTTACTGGTGACATGCAGTATGTATACAATTTCTTTTCTAACGTAGGGGCACTGGGACAGAGGACAGTGTTCTCCGGGGAATACAAATCTCTGGTTCCCACAAAGCTAAAAGTCGGTGACAAACCCTAAGAGGCCCCGAGATAAGAGAGTGGGCTGTAGAACTCTGTACACCTGCGGCAGCAGGTGAACGCAGAGTGGCGGGCAAGGAATCAGGCATTGGTGAAATGGGCGGTCACTGGAGGGTGACGCGGGGCGCACAGCAGGGGCGAGTCACTTCGGCTTGCAGGGGAGAGGGAAGACTGGGCGCGGACGGGGGTGGGCGGTAATGGGGAGGCAGCCGTGCCGAGCACCCCACAAGGGGGAAGGAAAAAGCCCGTCTCCGAAAATAAGTAAAGAAGCTGGAGAGTGTGTCAGGTTAGAGCGTAGCCCTTCCATCCACCCATCCGTTTGTCCTCCATCCATCCGTCCTTCCATCCGTCCCTCCCTCCGTCCCTCCAGTGTTTTGTTCAGTGTCAGAGGCTGTGTCACAGCTAAATCTACTGGAGACACGAAAGGTAGGTTGGCGCCAGATTTCGAGGGGTCTGAAGTGCCAAGCTCAGAAAGCGAACGTTCACGGTGCTGTTTTTCTGAGCCATGGAGAGAGATTTTGGAAGGTAACTGAGAAAGAGTGGATTGGCAGAATCGAACAGGGTGGATCAGAGAGAAGGAGGTTGGGCGAGGAAACTCCCGAGAGGCAGGCCAAGGTCCACAGGTAGAAGGACGAGGTCTGGGTGGGGGACGGGCAGGGAAAGGCCTGGATTTGAAAGACGTTGCCGGGGCAGAATGTATAGCCGTGGGGAGACAAGGAAGCCAGGAGCAGCCCCCCGGGGGGGCAGGGGGGCGGGCAAGCAGGAGGGCTTGGAGAGGGGGCCCCCGCCTCTCCCCGCGCTGAGTTCTCTCCCTCTCCCCTGCGTCTGAGCTCGGTAGATGCTTCCCGCACCTGACACCTGCTGAGCGGGGACTTCATGGAAGTCACTCTCCCATTGTCTCAGGGAGCACGTTTTGTTTTTAATCCATAAATGGAACTTAGGTTTCTAAGCTGGTAATGACACTCAGTTCTGAGACCCTCACATTTAAAAAGGAATGACCCTGTGTAGATACATAAAATCAGGCCATTGTGCAAACAAGGGTTTTACATTTCTGTACCTTTTCTCATCCATTGCTAATCAGAAAGAACAGTCATGCCTACGTGCATGCTGTTTGCTCCAAGTGGCCGTGGGACGTTGAAACGAGGTCGGGATCCGCAGTGTCCCGGGGGCCTCGTGGTGGCGTGACACAGACGGCGAGCAGAATGCCGCGCCGCACAGCCAGAGACAGAGGGCCGCACACCCGAGGTTATGCCTGGCGACCATGGTTACGGGCAAAAACGGTGTTGAGCTCTTAACGTTCTTAATGGAGCGCAGCAAGTTGAATAAATATGAAAAGGTGGTTTCAAACCTTTCCTTTTCCGTGACTGAGGAGTCGGGCGCAGGAGTCATTTACGGCCGAGCATCGCTTGCGTGGCGGGCGGACTGCGGCCTTGGCCAGCGAGCCCGAGTCCCAGCCAGGACGGGCTTTTCCCGTCACTCCTCTTCTGGAAGCTTCCATCTTTGTGTCCGCTCGCGGTGGAGGGGGCTGAAAGGATATCATTGCCTTCATATTATGACACCGCTATTTGTCTGCTGTAGTCGCCCCGCACGGCACTCATCGCGTCCGCGTGACGGCTTCAGCTCCTAAAAAATGTCTTTGTTGCTAGAAATCACAGGCTGGCTTTCCTTGCTCTCAGGGCCCCTGACGCCCAGGAGAAGAAAGGGGCGCTGCTTCCCCACCCGTCACCCCGTTCCCCCCGGCTATGAAAGGACAGGGCTCTCACCTCCCGAGCCTGTGGGTCTATCAAGCAGTAAATGTGCCAGTCGCTGCCTCTGCCCTCCTCGCCCCGCCCCCGCCCCCGCCCCCGCCCCATGCAGCGCAACAAGCTTCTTACTGGGAACAGATGCTCGCGCCCCGGCTTTGAAGGTCCTCGGGAGAGGCGGGCGGGCCGGCCGGCCGCCCGGACGGGAAGTGGCTGCGTGCCGCGCCGCGGGCCTGCCGGTGCGTGGGTGTGATCGCTGTTCCACTGACCGCTTGCTGATTGCCATGCTTTTCTCTTGTAGGTGATGTGCCTTCAGGACTTTTTTGGTGACGATGACATTTTTATTGCATGTGGACCAGAGAAGTTCCGTTACCAGGATGATTTCTTGCTAGATGAAAGTGGTAAGGAAAAAAAAAAAAAGTTCAAAACCAAGGGAAATTTGAGGCAGCTTTGCACAACGAGCCGCGCCAGGCCAGGCTGATGTCAGCTCCAGAGCGACCAAATCAGTTTCAGATCCCGGCCCAGCGCGGCTTTTCTGTTGCTCGGATTTCTTTGATTTTTTTTTTAATATATATAGAAAACAGATGAAATGATAATGGGGAAGGTTAAATCACTTAGAGGGATAAATTACCGATGGCTAATTTATGACCATTTAATAGCTAAATTGATGTTCCGTGGAACACCATGGGGTGGATTTCTGCCGATTTAACTGTGTATGTTCCTCAAATGTTACGCTTGAGAGATGGGCACACATAGAACCACTGGGTGCGTTCCCAGGCCCCGCTTCCCGGCAGCCTCTTCCTGTGCCCTTTCCTTTTAAAGACTTCGGTTCGGTGTCCTTGCCGTCCCGAGGCGTCCGACAGAGGAGCGCAGCGTCCTTCCGCCGGAGCCGCCGTGTGACGAAGGGGCAGTTGGTCAGCAGGGACGGACGTGTCTCAGGAAATGAGCGATCAAAGGTTGTGACTTGGGAGTCACTTTTTCTGCTGCTGTAAATGATCCCAGCCTCCGGAGCAGCGTCACGGGGAAGGTTTCGAAAGAGGCCTTCTCATGACAGTCGCACTTCTAACTGAATTACGGGAGTGTTGCGTAATCATGAGCAGTTCAGGGTCTAGCTCGTTGGGAACGGCTTTTGAAGTGATGACGATGCAGTTTGTGCCCAGGTAGATGCAAGTGAGACACGTGCCAGGGAGCTTTTGGCCACGTGGGTGGGACAGGCGGCACCGGAGTCCTGACACCGCCAGGTCAGCGACGTGGTGTGACGTTCCTGCTCGAGCACAGCTGACTGTTTTTTGCACGGGGTATCTAGGTTGTGTACGTATGCACGTATCAGCTGCATGCATTTAAGCGTATGACTTACAGTCATAAATGATGAAATGATCAACTCAGAGTGTGTCGGGAGGGATAAGAATAAGAAAGATGAGCCATGTATTGTGAAAACATCCAATGCCCAGTAAAAGTATATATAGATGTGTCATTTGAGAGATTGAAGTTATTTTGGTTCAGATTTTTAGCAGGAAGAGCGGCTTGGTACCTCTTCCCTTCTAAATAAGTTTTTTCCAAATATGTTCTGTCTTTATCTCTGATAGGCATGCCCCTTGGGGGCAAAGATTGATGCAAATATATCACATATACCGCGTCCCCGTGGCGGGGGAGGGTTTCCCCGCGTGCGCCCCTTCCTCAGCGCAGGCAGCGTTGCCAGGGTGCGGGAGCGACGCTGCTGGGGGTCCCGCAGACCAGCTGACGGCGCAGTTTTGAAATAAAGAGGTGGCCCTGACTTCGCGTTTACAGAAAGTAGCCGCTTCTGGCAGAACGGCCTGGGAGACCAGACGGGCTCTGAAATGAAAGCTTCACTCGCCGCCATGGTGTAGAAAACCGACCGTCCGACTGGGACTGGGGTACAGCCCCGTCCCCCTCAGCACAGCCGGCCTGGGCCCCCAAGGCCGGGATCTCCGTCCTGGCCCCAGGGAGGCCCGGGCTGGGCTCCCCCACCCACCGTGCGAGGTCCTACAGCCTGCCCCCCACGCCCCCGTCGCCTGCACGGACGGGCAGGCAGGGCAGGCTTTCTGAAAACGCAACAGAGAAGTACCAGGGAGTCCCGTGTGGTTCCCTTAGGATCCTTCTCCACTAAATAGAATGTACACAGACCTCTCTATCCAGGTGTCCATCTATCTGTCCATCTGTCGGCCCAGCAGCGCACAGGCACACTCGGCCCCCAGGACACCCTGCCCATGGCTGGAGGTCCAGCCTTTGCAGGCCCACGTCAAACTGTCCCTCTGGTAGGTATCCCCTCACCGTGTCTTGGTGTGAAAGGCATGTGCTGAGTAACAGCGCCCTCCCCAATCCTAAACCAGGCACGTGGAGTGCGGGGAGGGGGGAGGATCTAAATTGAGATTTTCTTTCCTTGGGTGAACTCACCCCGGAGGCTAAATTCACACGTTGACAACTGCAGTCTCCTGTCACGTGTACGGTGTGTTCTGCTGCTAATGTGTTCGAATTGGAATCTTTTGGAAAGTGCTCTGAGCGCATGATGCAGCCCAGCTTTGCTGCGCTCGCCGAACGGCATTTGCACATGGAGGTCGTGTTCGGCTTGACCGCAGGAGCTTCCCAGCAGGTGCGGCAGCGGGGAGCACAGGTCTCTTCAGAGCGACTGCGTGCACCAGGCTGTGGTCCTGTCCCGGCACCAAGCAGCGGCCTTGTGCCGCAAGGCGGCGCCTTTATTTGTCATCTTCCAGGGGGAACCCAGCCCCCCGCGTGTTTTTGGGATGAGCAGCGATGCATCCCCCAGTGGCTTTGGGGACGGCCAGGTCTCTCCAGCAACAAGCTGTCCCCTGGGGACACATGGCTCCCGTGGCTCCGCGGGAGCCGGGTCAACATGAGGAACAAATGGCGAGGAGCCTCCTCCCGCCCCTCAGTTTTCACTGGGGAGAAAACAAATGCCTTCCTGTTTCCAGCTCCAAAGGGAACTGTTTTAGCAACGTCGTCACTGATGAGCAGTGTCTTCACACCTTTGAAAATGGTGGGCACACCTCCATGATGGGTGGAGGCTGCGGCCAGCTGCTCCGCGTCCTGCGCTGGCCGCCGCCTAATTTAGGAGGAGGAAACGAGCGCAGGGAAAACGCCAAAGCACAGACCGGAAGCTCAGCGTGGCCTCGCTTCTGCATTGATGATTAGTTGACAAATTGGTGGCCTGTTGCCGTGAAAACAAGGCAAGATTTGGTTGCGAAATGCCTACCTCGCACCTGGAAGGGACAGTTACCCCCTTGGTGAGCAGTCTGTCCCAAATGTCCCCGTGTGTCCCCCGCCCCACCCCAGCCTCCGCACCAGCGCCCCCAAACCAGCTTGGCCAGTGTCGTCACCGCTGCCAGGCCTGCCAGCTGCTCAGGCCTCTAAGTGTCTGCCATCCTCTCTGTCTGTTTTCACCAGTTCCTGAGCTCTCGGTTCTGATGCTCACAGGCCCTCCCTGAGACTTAATGTTTCCGCGTCCAGGCGCTGGCTTCCTAGGGCTGCGGTGACTGAGCCCCACAGACGGGGGCTAGGGCAGCAGAAATCGTCCTCTAACAGCTCCGGAGGCCGGAAGTCCCAGGTCAAGGCACGGGGAGCGCCTTGCTCCCACCGAAGGCGCTAGGAAGGGTCCTCCCCTCCGCCCTCCTGGCGTCTGGGGGCTGCTGACGATCCTGGCGATCCTGGCGTCGCTGGGCTTGTCCCAGCGCCACCTGATCGCTGCCTCCCCTTCCACGGGGCCTTCTCTCTGTGTGTCCAGATTTGCCTCTTCTTGTCTGGACGCCAGTTGCCGAGTTAGGGCCCCGCCGCCTCCAGTCCCACCGCGTCTTAACTGCGTGACGCCTGCAGAGGCCCTATTTCTCAGCAAGGTCGGGGTCACAGGCCGCCACGTGCTGCACATGTCTTTTATTTTGGAGGCGAGGGAGACACAGGTCATTCCACCACAGATGTCTGAACTCGTCCAGCTTTTATTTGAACTGGAGTTTCTGCTGGTTGGTTCTGACCCGCCTGCAGGTTTGCACACCTGTAGCTCTGCGTTCCCTAGAGGAGAGCACAAACCACAGCCGTGAAGAGTCGCCCCCTCCTCTGACCTGTCAGAGGGCGGGGCGCCTGAGCTGCCCGAGGAGCGAATGCGGGGCGGGGGAGGGGTGCTGGCCGAGGACGCGGGCTGTGCACTTGGCAGGGCCCCGGCGGCGAAGGTGAAGCTGACGCTGACGTCCGCGTGCGCCCGGTGGCTACGCATCTCGTCCGGCTGCCGGGCCCGGAAGGCGCTGATTCACAGGCCGGCATCCGGTGGGCTGGAGGGATCTCTGCTGGAACAGCCCACGGCGCCGCTGACGGCAGGGACCGTGCCCGGTGAACCTCTCCGCACAGGGCTCCGCCCGGGGTCTGCGCCGCTCGGCGGGGTTAGCAGTGCCCCTCACGCATCTGGTGGCGTGCGGGTGAGGCCATCCGTGGGCTGATACAGTCGCAGACAGGACGCGAGCCACAGGCTGTTGAGCAGGACAGGTAGTTTCTAAGAAGATAAACTGGAATGGGTACAAACAAGTAACCCTCTCACTCAGCGGGGGTGTCCTCTCTTCTGGTGTCTCTGGGCCACACCGGGAGGAGCCGCGTAGTCTTGGGCCACACATTAAATGCGCAAACAATAACGAAAACTGATGAGCCAAAAAAAAAAAAAAAGTTTAAAGTAAATTTACGATTTTGTGTTGGGCTGCATTCATAGCCACCCTGGGCTGCGTGGGGCCCGTGGGCTGCAGGTTGGACGCCCCTGCGAGATTTTCATTTAAAAAAAAAAAAAAAAAAAAAAAGGCCAGCGCTCCGCGCGGGGTCAGCAGCAACACAGCCCGAAGAGCAGCCCCAGTGAGAAGGCGGCGCGGCTCGCTGGGCGTGCGGTCGCCTCTGCTCCGCCCTCGGCCCGTGGCTGGCAGGCGTTGGCCGAACAGGAAAGGTGCTAATCACGTTCACAAAGCTGGTGTAGAGGGAGAGTGTGCCCCGTAGGGAAATGCAGAAGAAATTTAAATGATTGAACTCTCACATGAGGTTTTCTGTAGGTTTGTTAACACGTATACTTCTGAGGTTATGAACGTTTGAAACCGCAGTAAGACTTTTGGGGTCCGCATGTGCGTGCGTGCAGGCGTGTCCACGCGTGTCTGCACAGGGTCCCAGCTCCAAGTCCAGCTTCCCGCCGCACCGCAGCCCTGTGAGCACAGGCTCTTTCTGGGCATGTCGTTCCAGAGGGGCCCTTTCCTCGGCTTCCCGGAGGGACCCCGTGGTGCTGGGTTCGCAGGCTGCGCTTGGTGGATGTTTCTAGAAGTGTTCCACCCCAACCGCTTTGCAGGGGCCCCTGTCCCGAGTGAGGTGAGGCAGAAGCTGCCTTCCGCCGCTCACTCGGACCCTC